TAGGGACTGCATGCATGTGGTTCATGTATATGCAGGCAAAACACAAACATACAAAATTAAAAATAAAAACACACAAAAAATGTTAAAGGTACTGCCTTTACAGCTACCTCAGGAGAGAATTTGGTAGTATTGTATGAAACTAAACATACAATCCAGACATTGCACTCTCTGGTGTCTGTCCAAGGAGCTGAAGCCTGTCTACATAAACCTGAGCACAGATGTCTACAGCAGCTTTACTCATAATTGCAAAACCTGGAGTCAAACAAGATGTTCTTTAGTAGGCGAGGGATAAATAAAATGTGATGCTTACAGACTACAGAAAATATTCAGGAGAAAATTATTCAACACTAAAAAGGAATGAAGTCAAGCTATGGAAAGTCATGGAGAACATTTAAATGCTATTATCAAAAGAAAGAAGCCGGGAGCTGGAGAGATAGTTCAGTGGTTAAGAGCACTGACTGCTCTAGCAGAAGACCCGAGTTCGATTCCCAGCACCCACATGGTGGCTACAAATGGTCCTTAACTCCAGTTCTAGGGGAATCTGACGCCTTCTTCTGATTTCCACGGCATTGCACGACACAGATGCTCTCATACACATAAAATAAAAATAATAAATAAAATGTGTAAAAAGAAGAAAGCAGCCAATCCCAAATGGCTACATACTCACTTTATGATATACTTTAATTATAGGACACACAGAAGGTAAAACTATGAAGGCAGTACAGAGCAGTGTCTGTTAGGGTTTGGTGGAGAAGAAGGGATGAAATTAGTGGAGCACAGGGGTGTTTAGGGCACTGAGGCAATTCTGCATGATGTAATACCAAGGACACATGTCATTAACACTTGTCCAAACCCATACAATGTACACCACTAGGAGGGAGCATGGATATAAACTATGGACTCTGGATAAGAATGCTAATGCACCTTTGCATGTTCATCAGTAACCGGTGATGTTGATGGGGTGCATGCGCACAGAGAGTGGGCAGGGTTGGCTATTCACATGCAAGGGTAGGAAGGGTTATGGGAAATTTCTGTGCCTTCTAGTTAATTTAGCTATGAACCTAAAACTGCTCTTTATTTTTTACTTTTTAAAATATTTTATTACTTTTTATTTTATGTGTATGAGTGTATTGCCTGCATGTATGTGAGTGCACCCGTGTCGTGCAATGTTGTGGAGGTCAGAAGAGGGCGTTGGATTCCCTTGGAAGTGGAGTTAAGGACGGTTTGTAGCCACCATGTGGGTGCTGGGAATTAAACCTGGGTCTTCTGCAAGAGCAGTCAGTGCTCCCAAGCCCTGAGCCATCTCTCCAGCCCCAAAACTGCTCTTTAAAAAAATCTTTTAACTATGGACTAGGACAGAATGGCACAGCAGTCAAGCCTGGCTCCAGCATAGAATCTGGCCACCGTAGTCAACAGACTGAGTCCTCCCAGTGCTCTCCAGACCCTGAGAGTAAACTCCAAGCTTCTCAGCCTGGTTTCTAAGCACTTCGTCATCTAAGTCCAGCTCACTTCTCCAGTTTCAACCCTTGTCACACTTGGCCCCTACCTTCTACTCCAGTAAACATAATGGTTGGGAGCTGGAGGGATGGCTCAGCAGCTGAGAGCACTGCCTGCTCTTGCAGAGAACCCAGGTTCAGTTCCCAGCACCCACATGGCAGCTAACCATTATCTGTAACTCCAGTTCCAGGGGATCCGATGCTTTCTTCTGGCCTCCATAGGCACTGCACACATGTGGTGCACTCATATACATGCTGGCAAAACATAAAATTAAAATAATAAAAAAATTTTTTAAGCCACAGTGGTTTAGAATTCCACTACAGGCCTATATCCTTTGAACTCCGTCTGTGAGAACGCCCCGCCTACCTCCCACCCTTGGCCTGGCCAACTGCTGCGCATCTTTCACTCTTCCTCCACACAGCTAGGACGACCTCCCTCCTCCCCTCAGGTTGGGTTGGGGGTTCCCCTCTGTGTTCCCACTGTTCTCAAGTTTATCCTTTTCACAGATAATGCTACACATTTCTTTTAAAAAAAAAATTCTACATATTGGGACCTATTGTCCTATCAAACACTGTTCTAGGCTCTAGAGATTTAACAATAAATGAAACAGACAAAAATCCCTGCCTTTGAGAAGCCTAAGTTCTAGGGGTATCTTTTTCCTTGGCCTATGAATGTGAAAGGGGGCATGCTCTGCCTATAAAACAAACAAACATCAACAAGAACAAAAAGACAAGGTGTTGCACAGCAAAGGTTTGGCCTCTCCCTCCTCAAAGGAAGATCTGAGTGCTCCCTGTGCCAGGAATACTCCTTCACCCCAACCACCAGAGGCAGTACGGTATGGAGTGGGTCCCAAACCTGGTTAGGCATCAGACGGGTCTACTGAATGGGATGGTGCCTGAGAAGCTATGTCTTACAGGTTCTCTGGATCATTCTGGTGTAGCCAGCTAAACATCAGGGCCTTAGAGCTGCCACTGTCCTTCAGAGTATGCCATGATCCATCCCTACCCAGCCACAGACCCCACTTTGCTCTCATCCTTTGCTACCACATCTTTCCTTCCTTCATTTCCTTCAGGTCTCTGCTCAAATCTCATCTCGTGATAAATATTTCCCAGACCAGACTTTTGCTTTTTAAAACTATTAAGTGTATGCATGCATGTCCGCATGTGTGGGCATGTGCATGTGAATACAGGTGCCAGTGGAGACCAGAGGCATCGGATTCTCTTGGAGCTGGAGTTACAGGAGGTTGTGATTTACCCAACACTGGTGCTGGAAACAGCTTAGGTCCTCTGCAAAAGACTGTTTTTCACTGCTGCGCAATCGATCTCCTGTTTTTGTTTTGCTTTGGAGACAGGGTCTCTCCATGTAGCCTGCTGGCTGGCTACATGCCTGGAGCTCCTCCTGCCTCAAGCTCCCAAGCGCTGGGATTACAGGCTTGCACAACCACACCACACCTCACATCACACTTTTAAAAAATTTTTATTTATTTTTATTTTTATGTATGTAAGTGCAACCATGTCAGGCAATGCCTGTGGAGGTCAGAAGTGGGCATCAGATACCCCTGAAACTGGAGTTATAGACAGATATTAGCTGTCATGTGGGTGCTGGGAATTGAACCCAGGTCCTCTGCAAGAGCAGCCAGTGCTCTTAACCATTGAGTTACCTCTCCAGCCCCATATCACACTTTTCAATACAACAATCCCTTTACCTTTACCCTCCTCCCACCCCCCATTTACTTCACTCCAAGCACTTAGCCTTACTTGCTAGAAGTGATGTGCTGAATCTGTCTCACAGAGAAGCCCTGCAGGCTGGTTATTAAGTACAGGCATCATTAAAGGTAAAATGATTAAACTTATAATTAAACAAATAAAGCAGAATTTAAAATGCTCATGCTTATCACTTTCTTTTAAAAACCATCATTTGGGGCTGGAGAGCTGGCTCAGCAGTTAAGAGCACTGACTGCTCTTGCAGAGGACCTGGGTTCGATTCCCAGCACCCACATGGCAGTTAACATCCATCCGTAACTCTAGTTCCAGGGGAATCCAACGTGCTTTTTTCACCTCCTTGGACATTGAACAACATGCATGCACTTACATACATGCAGGCAATATACTCATACACATAAAAATAAGAATAAAATAAAAAAGCCATTATTCATATGTCTTGGGGTTTCTTTACACCTACACATCTGCATAGTAGAATATGTAAACATATACAGGCATACTACTCAATATCTTCACTCTAAGTTCAGTGACACCAACTGTTGACTTGAAATCATCTGCAGTAAGAGGATGTCACAAGAAAGGAAAGCACGACAAGCTGGGTTTATATTTATTGGGTTTTTTGTGGTTTTTTTTTTTTTGTTGTTGTTGTTTTTGATCTTTTTGAGACAGGGTCTCCCTGTAGCCCAGCTGGCCTGGAACTCACTATGTAGACCAGGCTAGCCTCTAACTCACAGAGATCCGCCTGCCTCTGCCTCCCGAGTGCTGGGATTAAAGGCGTACACTACCATGCTCAGCCTTATGTTTATTGTTTTATTTGTCTCAAGTTGGCCTGGGCCAAATCTGACTCATCAACTGTTTTTGTGGATAGAGTCTTCTTGCAATAAAACCACATCTATCCATCTACATATTGGATAAAGCAGAGCTGAGCAGTTACAACTATGCAGCCTGAAAAGTCTCGGCAGTTACTGTCTGGCCCTTTACACAAGAAAATGACTGACCCCAGGTCTAGCCTTAAAGTAATGGAGAAAACGTTCATAATGCAGATTAAATGCAAAAGCCAGTGCATTGTATATAAGTAACAAAACAAATGAAGTACAACTCTCCACCATTTCTCAGAATCACCTCTGAGAAACTGTATTTCCACTATTCAAAAACAGGTCCATTTCAGCCAAAGCCAGTTAGGACACCAGCGAATGAATGAAACTTCATTTTCTTCTCACTATTCAGGAGGAAGGCAGATAGCAACACTTATGGTGGGACCACATTTGTTTAGACATTATAACTATGTGCTGGCTATTGATTGAGGGAAAATTCAAGAAAAGTACTATATGTATTGGCTACAATGGGCAGGTGGCACATGCCTGTATTCCAACAGCTGAGGAAACTAAGATGGGAAGATGCTGAGCTTGAGGGCTAGCCTGGGTAACACAGTAAGACAATCATTTCAAAAACAAAATAGGCACTGGAGACCTGGCTCAGCAGTGAAAAGCACTTGCTGTCTTGTAGAGGACCCAAGTTTGGTTACTAACACCCATGTTGGGCAGATCATAACTAATTGCCTATAACTCCAGCTCCAGGGAATCTGATACCCTCTTCTGGCCTCTGAGGGCACCTATACCCAAACAGACCCAGGCACAGGCACAGATACACACAGACACACACAGAGACAAATAAAATCTTTAAACAATAAAACCCAAAATAGTAATTGACTAACGAAGTTTATAACAGTATAATAAGATTTTATTATTTGAAGATTTCTATCAGTAAAATTTATAATGAACATACATACTGTTTCAGGAACTGAAAATCTAAACATAACCCATTAGACTGTAACCAGTCTATAGCCATACCAGTTCAGGTGGTAACCCTGAATTGCCCGATCTCATCTGAATGTAGTAAGCTCATTTTAGTCTAGTGCTTAGAAAAGCACCTCGCACGAAGCAGATGCCCAGTCAGTATGTGATGTGACTAAACTGAGGAGCAGCTTTGGAACTCCTGTTTCCATGGACAGACTTCTCAGACCTAGGTCACATTCCCAGCTCTACCACCAACTAGCCATGTGGCTTGGCTTAACTATTTAACCTTTCTGAATCTTAGTTCTTCATTTAAAAAGAGGGGACCATCTTATCTCACTGGGAGGTTGTGACAGTATATACTGCTGCCTATCAATAACCTACTATGTGTTTCTCCACAGATGAACGTGGCTTTCTGCCCCTCGGCCCTCCACCCCTGCCCAATGCTTACTTTCTGGAAACCCAGCCCTGCTGCTGTCATACATTTCAGTGATGTCACAGCTCTCTGCCTGTCAGCTTCAGCACCATCATTTGCTGCTCAGCCCAAGTGCTGGCTGAACTGTGACAGGCAGGGTACAGGCAGTGCTGGGCCCACCCAGGCTTGTTCCTATAGTCCTAGCATGAGCCCATCTACAAGGAAGAAGCCCAAGAATAGAATGACTTCCAAGGTCAGTCTTTGAAATAGAGACTGAGTAATCCCCAGAGAAGGAACCTTACCAAAGAACCCAGCCATACCAAGGACAGAGTCCTTCTAGGCTTGTGGAAAAGGAAAGATAATGGTAAAGGGAGGGCAGGAGAGTTAATGTGATCTCAGTTTTGCTCCCAAATCAAAGTGGCAAAACTGCCAGCACAGGGTTGGTCAAACCATGCTCAGCCAAATGGAGAGGCACAGTAAAGGCATGGGGGACTCCTCCAATGCTGCCCCTCCCTCTCTCTCTATCCCTCAGGCGCAAGATGAGAAACTACAGGACAAGAAGCAGCAGCTTGTCAGCAAACTATTTGGGCAGAACCGACTTAAAATGGTGAGATGCTCCATTTTAGCTGCAGCCTAAGGGAGCCAAACTCTCCCTGAAGAGCTACTCCAGTTGCTGGGCCCAGTGACCCACAAGAGCCAGCAGACTCAGCAGACTCAGCCCTGAGCTGAGCTGAATTGAGCCACAGGCAGGGAATGGAAGGCTATCCCAAGAGAGCTGGAGCCTCTAATTTTCTGGTTTCTTGACCCTGGCAGGTGTTAAGAAACTTGTCCCTCTTGAAGCTACTCAAGAACTCAAATGGCCAGGTCCAAGAACTGCATAGCCTGGCCAGAAGGTGCTGGAATTCAATGCTCAGAGTTGCAAAGATCTTCCAAATCTCCTCTGGGTGAGCTTCCACCCACTTCTGAGCATCCCCACCCCCACCCCATACACACACCCAATAGCTGTCTTTCCTGGGAATAGGCATTGTGGTGAGGATTTAAATTACAGTAGTCTACTTTACACAAAGGCTCTGTGCAGCAGGTGTTTATGGGAATTATTTTACTGATAAGAGACAGCGACTGGAGAGATGAATGATTTAGCTCAGTTAACTGATAAGTGACAGAGGGGGATTTGAAGTCACTCCTTCCTGAGAGCAAAACTGTACCTATATGGTCATAATCATGTAGTAAAGGGCCTACGCATAGCTAGGGTGTGGAGTGTGTTTGTGTGGGGCTTCCTAGCCCTCCCCTTCCTAGCAGCCTGTCCCAGGGGTTCACTTGCAGACTGTCCTTTGAAGACTGAAGATGTGTACATCTTGCTCAGAGTCAAATTTCCCCATGGGTCACACTAGGATTTTGGGAGCATTTACATAAGCACCTGTTAATGCCAGCTACTATGTTCAGCACCTTTACATGCATCTCCTCATTTAGTTTATTTTTCACAACAATCCTAGGTACATGGCATTGCCCTAATTTTATAATTATGGAGATTCAGGCTCTGAGAGTCTAAATTTCTTACCCTAATCCACATGCTCTGAACCTAGTATGTCTGTCTCCAAGGACTCTGCTCTACAAACTACTACTGCTTCACAGACTCCTAATTGGCAGAGTGGTGAGGATTCTGAGCTTGACAAGTGAGCACCCAATGACCATTACTATCTCTAGCTAAGATGAGCTAGGACGGGGGCTTTGCAGGGCTCAATCTGATGCAGACACACCTGAAAGTCTTTCAGCATGTAAAAGTTGTTAACTCCTTCTCAAGGTTTCTTTCTCTGATCTGGCCTCCCAGGCAACCAGAAAGCCCAGAACCAGAAATACCAGGATCGCATGGTCCCATGAACTTCTTCTCTTTAAATACCTATCCCCAAACCTAATCACATGAGGGGTATCTCACCCTCACCCTGTACCCTATACCAGGATTGGTGAGGGTACTGGAGACATCGCCTCAGAACCCAGTGGTTTCTTAGACTATCATTTGAAAGGAACACTGGACTGTGCACCCTCTCAATTGACAGACAGAAGCCCAACATCGTGGCATGTGCCAACAGCATACACCCCTAGGCTCCCTAACTACTCTACATGCCTTTTCTCCTCCCAGCTTCTCACATCACGTCCTCTACTGCCAGGCACTAGCCTCTGGGTGTGGAGAAGTTCCTCTTCGGTCTACCTTTCTTGACAAGCTCCCCTGAAGTGGCGACATAGCAACTGTCTCAAGATGGGGCTAGGGACCTTAGCCCTGCTCAGCTAATGGTCTTTCTTTTCTCCCTGTCAGGGACAATAATGCTTGCAAGAAAGTGAAACCAAACAATGAAAAGTTCCAGGAGACTACATCCTTTGAGAAGAAAATAGAGTCTAAGAAAGAAGTCATAGGAGAACCTAAGGAGAAAAGGACCGATGAGTGGAAGCCCAAGGAGAGATCAAAGGGGCCTCGTGCATCAGTGCCACGCAAAAAGAAGGTTCCACCTAAGGTTCCCAGAAGACCAAAGGGCCGTGACCTGAGCACTAGCGCCCAGAAGAAGAAACAACGGACTAAGAGCCCCCAAGTTGTCTTCCTGAAGACCTATCACCACAGAACTCCCATGGGGGACATGAAGCAGCAGGGTGCAAACCAATTGTTCTGGTTTGAGGGGCTGCCCACACGTGTCCACCTCCCGGGGCCAAGGGTCCTGTGCAGATCCTCTACCCTACGCTGGGTCAAACGCTCCTGCACACGTTTCTGCTCTATGTCACTTTGAGTTGTCTGTACACCATCCATACAAGGTGGGTGTGACCATACCACTGTCAGGGCAGGGTGAGACGCAGACCTCCCCCGCCCCCACGCCCCAGCCAGGCTCAAGGCTGGGCCCTAGAGCCAGTGCTTAAGATCTTGAGTCTTGAGGGCTGTCTTTGGCAGTACTGAGAGGCCCTGCCTTCGTGCCCAGAGAAAGGAAGCCATTGTGTGGGCCACATAGCAGAGTGGGAGCTGGGCTGAGGATGCATCTCAGGACTGACTCGCGCTCTAGGGAAGAAGATGCATCAAAGTGTGGGTCCCAATGTGTGTCATCTCATTACCTGGAGGCTTCAAGAGGGGTGGGAACTGCTAAAGCTCTGAATCTCACAGTCAGTCAGATTCTTAAGAGGGCGTAGGGCATTCCAAATATGGGAGGAGGGAAGTGGCTATGTTGGACTTTGCTGCATCCCATTTTCTCTTAGACCAAATCAACTCTATATTCCTTCTATGGGCGAAAAGGTTCTCAGGAAAGGAGGGGGGTGACTGACTCCAGAGGTCCAGCTTAAAGGGTTTCCCTTTGGGAAAACCAGCATCTCCAACCTGCCCAGAAACCAGTGTTGACCCTGTGCTTGTTCACCAAACAACAGCGCCCTCTGGGGGTGATTTTAGCGACTAACACAGATCTCTGTTCACAGGTGGTGTGACCCTGGATGGGAACCTGAAGTGTAAGGAGAGAACAGTAGAGACCCTGCAATCAGTTGAACAGGAGGGAATAGGCAGGAAATTTAGGAGTCTACAAATAAAATTGTCCATATGGCACTGAACGATGCTACCACTGACTCTGCCTGTCTAAAGTTGTCAAGCACATAAGTATGGAGGAAAGGGGCACCGGGGGAAGTAGGGAGTGTATGTTATGACTTAGGGCTATGCAGGCCCCATCCCCAGGTTGCTAAGGTCATTCTAAAACCAGAACAGAGAATCTAGGAAGCGGGAACCCTCTACCCCTCTGATCTAGCTGGCTAGAGCCCCTCACCCACTAGAAAGCTGGTTTCCTCAAGCAGTGCACACTTCCTCTATGAAGTCAGAGACCATCTGTTGTTTCCTAGGTGTAGAGTGCCTCACAATGGCCCTGTGAGCCAAGGAGAGGGGGAACCTTGTACTAGCAAATGATCTACCCAGGCTCTCTCAGATAGGAATCACGGGAACAAAAACTACCCCTAGGTCTCCTGGCTTCTTTTCCACTCCATTTCCCCAAGAGAAGAAAGTCACATGGAGAGCTTGACTGGCAGGTAGGACAATCCCAGAATCCACCTCACCACTGATTATCGAGTGTATGGTGTCAGTAAATGGGCCTCCTGGGTCACAGATCATGGATCCCGTCTAATCTGGCCCAACTTTGGTCACAGATCTTGGAAAAACACCAGGTCAGGCAGGGAGCTGGCACCGTGTCCTATTGCTCAGGTGTGACATAGCATGTCATCTTTCAACCCCAACCCCAAGTGGTTAACTTCATCTGGTCTGGGTCACCCTCTATCAGGAGCTATAGGGCCTTGTATACACAGTTGGGAAGAGAGGCCAAGGGAACCCAATTTTCTTTGGATGAAGACTATAACCCTCTTTATATTCCCCTGAGCCTGGCTGCTGAGTGTGTGCCCTCAGGTGAGCTGCCCAGCCATTGAGCCCCTGGGGCAGAGAGCAGGGTCACAGAGCCCTTCTGGAGAGGCAGGGTAGTCACAAAGAGGTATCACTTGGGAGAGGGAGGATGGAAGACAACCCCTTAACCTACCCTTCACTGCTCCTCCCTACTAGTGCCTGGCACTTGCCATCTGTATTGTAAGGGCAGCCCAAGGGCCATGGGCCAGGCAGAGCCAAGGTTGGCACCAGGGGTATCCACACCACACTGTTGCTGTTCAGCCTTGGGGAGGCTATTGCCCCTACTGTGTGCTCCTTCCCATGGGCAGAGCCCAGGGCCATCTAAGCATGAATGCCACTACTCCTACTACTCTCCAGACACCCCAGACACTCCTTTTCCAGCTGCCTCCCAGCTTGCACTCCAGCTTTTTTCCCCAGTGGTCTCCATTTTGGTTCCCATCAACTTAGAAAACCACCTTTACTCAATTTCCCTTCCCAAGCTTCTGTTCAACTTGTGTAGTGAACTGTCCTTAGCAAACCATCAGCAGGTGGCCAGTAGCATGCTCTTTGTGGAAGCCTAAACAGAGAGAGTCCCAAGTAGAGGCCCCAATGGGGTGGGCCAGGATAAGCCTGGCAACTTCTTGGTTTGGGATGCCTACAAGCATGCCACTCAGTGTAGTGAGGCCTGTGTACAGAGGGTGAGATTCAAATTCCCAGGGAAACAAGGGCACAGGTAGAGGACACGAGTGACTCCCAGCAGAACTTCCAGCCTTATTCCCAGGCCCCTGACTCTGGCACCAACCTGCCTCCCACAGTCTCACAGCTTAGATCTTGCCACCACCCACTTTCCCTTTATCTAACCACTTTGGTCTGAGGCGCATCTGGGTTTGGTAAGATCCTTTTCTGAGGAGAGATTACCCCAGAAATGGCTTCCTAACAGTTAACTGGGGAAAGGTGGGGTGGAGTGGGTTTTTAAACTCAATGTGAGCTTGTACTGAGTAACTTTTAATAAGCCACAGGACTTTTGAACCTGTTTCCTTTTTTGTGCTAGGGATCAAATCCAGGGCACTGCACGTGCAAGTAAGCAATCTACCACCACAGAGTCACATCCCAGCCCCAATTTCATTCATTTAAAAAAATGGGGACTCTGGGGGCTGGAGAGATGGCTCAGCAGTTAAAAGCACTGTCTGGTCTTGCAGAGGACCTGGGTTTGAGTCCCAGCACCCACATGGCAGCTAACAACTGTCCTTAAATCTAGTTCCAGGGTATCTGATGGCATTGCACAAGGGTGCACTTACATGCAGGCAATATATCCATACACATAAAACATTTTTTAAAATATATTTTTTAAAAATATGGACACTAATATCTATTGTAAAAGGTGTGAAATGAATTAGGCTTATGTAGATTAAGATAGTTTGTGGGGTGCTAAACCTTTAGGCCTTCCTCAAACACAACCCAACTGTCTCCATCAAGACTACTCAGACAACTGGAATGTGAACAGGTGAGACAGTTCAGGCAGTTGAGGCCTAGCTTTATCAGTTGTGTGGTGTTGGGGTAAATGATTAACTCCTCAATCTTCAGTTTCTTTGTCTGCAAAACAAAGGAAATAGTGGTTCCTATCTCTGAGAATTCAGTGAGAATATACATGAACCATTTTGCAGGGCATGACAGGAGCTTAATTCTTGGTGATGATGACATCTCATTAAATCCTCACAATGATCCAAAGAGGTAAGTACAATCTGCCCTCCATAGCCCTGCGTTCTGCATCCATGAATTCTGCACCCTTAGATTCAACCAGCTGGAAATGGAAAATGCGTGAGGAAAAAAAAACAAACAAAAACCCCACCTTCATCCATATTGATCATGTGCAGATTGTTCCCACTACTCCCTAAACAATATGTTATAGCCATACATAAACACATTTACATTGTATTAGGCATCTAAAGTACTCTAGATATCATTTGAAGTATGGAAAAATGGATATAGTTCTATGGAAATACTAGACTCTATTTTTTGGTGGAGGGGGGGCATAGGTTGAGATACTCTCATTCTAGCCAAACTGGCCTCAAACTCAGCAATTCTCCTGCCAAAGTTTCCACCTCCTGAGATTACAAGCACCAGCCGTCACACCTGAATTCATTTTATTATCTTATTTACTATACTATTTTATACAAAGGACATGAGCATCTACAGATGCTCCTATAACCGATCTCCTGTAGATACTAAGGGATGACTGCACGGTTATCCTTATTTTACAAACAAGGCAGCCGGGGTGGGGTGAGATGAAGTAGGCTGAGCGAGGGTTTCAGGGCTTAACCCTGTACTGTGCTGTGGCTTCCCCAGTCCTCCAGCGCCGCCCTGTCATTCCCCCTGACTTCCCAGGAACTGCCAGGCCAGGACCAGGCTTCCTTAACTCCTTTCTGCCTCGCTGCTGTTTTCGTCACCTTCTACCACTTTCCTATAAGATACAGTTTTTGATTTCTGGGACTCCTGTACCCTAAATCCACCTCCCCTGACAATCAAGTCTCATGCCCTGGGGCATGATGCTCTTTGGGCTGCAGGTTCAGGGCAGAGCACTGACTGACCTCTGGTACTGCCTGACCTCAGAGCCACAGAGGAAGGAGTCTGACAGCTTCCAGGGGGCCTTTTTTTGCTATGTGCCCTTCAGGACTTAGGACGGGTCTCCTCCAAACCTCCTCCCTCAAGATGTTTGGTCAGCTATCATTCTAGCTTCCATCGAATCAGTTTGGACAGGGCTGTCTACAATGAGAGCTCAGAGGTGTCCTCTGAGCTAGACTTCCCTTTTTTTCTTAACTTTTGAGGTTATAAACTATTCTGAGCACCGATTACACAAGTCTCCACATTTCTCTTCAAATGGCCTGAATTAAGGTGATTGGCAGGGTGAAGGGAGGGACAGAGTCAAGACTTCAGATCTCCAGAAAGAGGTGCATTCACTCAAAAGGAGGCTGAAGGCAGGTTCTGATCTAGATAGCAGCCTTTGGAAATCAAGACACTAGCTACATTTCTACCGTCACTTGGAAATCTGTGTCCTATTTAGCATACTACCAATCCATTTTTCTTGAATAGCTAGTAATGTTTATAAAGTACTATTCAACCTTAATATTTAGACAAATACAGGATAAAAAGGTATGATTATAAGGCGATACTGTTAAACCAATCAGAACGTGTACATCCAGTGGACGACACCACTGGAGCCCAAGTTCTTACACTGACAGTTCCTTACACATAGCTGTGAGCAAATTCCTGTTTCCCCATCTGTAAACTAAGGATGATGGTATCTTCTACTTCAGAGGGCTGTTATGAAGATTATATGAGAAGAGAAAAAGCCTTTGACCCACTGCTGGATGGACACTGGTTAAGCACCCAATGGATGTTACTTATTATTAAAATGAGAAAATGTGACTTCCATTGCATTCTTCTTTGGAACTCACTTCTAGAAACTATTCTGTTGCTTCAGAAATTGTGCAACTCTCATGAAGGTCACAAGAGTTGTATGTGGTGTATGTGTGTGTGGTGCATGTGGAACCCAGAGCAGGACATCCAGGTGTCTTCCTGACTCTGCCGTTCTGCCTTGAGACAGGGTCTATCACTGAACTGGAAGCTCACCATTTTAGCTAGGCCAGCTGGCCAGCAAGTGCTCAGGATCTGCCAGTCTCCATGCCCTTGGGAGGTCACCTTAATTTTTGTTGTCAATTGTCACTCCACTTGGTCACTGTATGGGGGCGGGGGGGCACAACACGGACCTCGGTTGCTTTGAGTTTCTGCAATTTCCAAATATCAAATTAACATTGGAGGGACATTTGTCATTACAGAAGGTCCGCAGAAAAAAGTGTTTCACCTGGAGCAACAGACACCACTGCTCAAGGAAGACAACAGCTACACTGAATTTCCTGAAGCCCTCCACAGAACTGAAGTTTGTGGTGTCTAGGGGGATAATTCACCCATACAGCTGGACCTAGACCCTGCAGTCAGTGTAGCCACAGCTCCAAGTTACCAAGGGGCATCGCTGTAGCTCACTTCTAGCCTCTCTACAAGCACTTTCATCCCATCAGCCTTGACTCCCTACTCTACAGGGCAGACAGCCAAGAGGCTAGACAGGCCCCCTAGGGAGGAGGCAAAACTCATCTACAGCTGTACCACACAGCTGTACTGGTCAATTTCCAAAAGCAAAAAACTGGCTGCTTCAATGGAGAGGGTCAGGGCTGGTGCGCTCTACCGCACGTGCTCAGGAACCACAAGTGGGAAAAGTGGCAGCTTTACCTAAGGCTTTGGAAAGGTAGCTGCAGGCGGAGGTGTGAGATACAGATTTTGCTTTTATTTTTTGTTATTTTATGTGTATGAGTGTATCCTTGCATGTATATAAGTGTACCAGTGTCGCGCAATGTCTGCGGAGGTCAGAAGAGGGAGTCAGATTCCCCTGGAACTGGAATTATGGACAGTAGTTAGCCGCCATATGGATACTGGGAACCAAACCTGGGTCCTCTGCAAGAGCAGCCAGTGCTCTTAACTGCTGAGTCATCTCTCCAGCCCCTTTGCTGTTTCGTGAGACAGGATTTCACTATATAAGGTTGGCCTCAAACTCATGATCATCCTGCCTCTGCCTCCCAGGTCCTGGGATCCACATTTAGCCTGGCATTTTGTATTTCACCCTAATGGAGGAATAACTCAGGCCTAGGAAAGGAGAAAGTGCCCTCATAATGCTTTATAGGTCTTTTGCCTAATTGTATTGATCTCTCTCAGTTCCAATGACAGTATCACAAAGTACAGTACAGAGAGCACTCTAGAAAATATTGTATTTATGTATATAGGAAGGACAGCTGCAAGCCCCTCACAGGAAAATCCTAGCCTTAGCTTCAAATTCCTGTCTCCATGAGCACTATCAGCACAGTTTGGACTGGAAAGTTGGGTACCCATCATACCGTCCCCACCACAGAATTTCAAAGACAGGAAAAAGAAACTCCTGCCATAACTGAGGTCAAGTGGGGTACCTGCTCATGCCTAGATGGCAAGTAGTGGCTTTTATTATGAGGCTAAGGCTAGAAGGGATGCTGCCTTTTCTCTGGGTCCTGTGGCCTGCTGTGCTGAGATCCAGCAGCAGGGTAGAGATTTGGTAGAGGGAAATTAGACAAGTTAGTCATGGGTTCTTGGATGCACCTACACGTGTGAGCCATAGGCTGTGCATTTTTCTTGTGTTTGATGCCTCCATCTGCCGTCCTCTGTCAGCAGCCTAGTACTTTGCACCTACATCTCTTTCTGTGGCTATGAACCCAGAAATCATGTGTTTCTCCAAACAGAATTACTGTGGTCTGGCAACATGGCAAAGGCGCCAGCTGTCCTGGGGTAGACGGATGGTGAGAAGAGGGTTTGCTTCAATCCGATATCCTTGATTTTTTTTTTCTTTTTTAAAACAACAGGCTGGTAACAGTATGATGGCTCAAGAGTGACAGCGCTCCAAATCTGTTACACCCTCAATGAGGCTTCCAGATTATCAAGGCTTCAGCAGAGGCCATTCTTGCAGCTGTGATCATGACCGCTACCTGCCTTCATGGCGGGGCCTCACTATCTCTCCACCAACAGGCTTCACATTTCCAGGGTTCCTCTCCGACCTGGGCTGGGCCTCATTTGGAGGTCTCAGCAGCCAAGGTGATGGGGGCCCAAGTGCCAGTTAGAGTGTCCGAGGGGCCCGATTCTAGACATTGGATTTAGGGGCTGAGCTGAGGGGGATCTCCTTGAGTTCCGTCCGCAAACACAGGTACTCCCCGATGACTGCCATGAGTGCAATGCACACAGCTTGGACCAGCCACCAGGTCAGCGCCGAGGGGAAACGGGAGCTGTAGAACCAGCAGCCCAGGAGGTGAAAGAAATGGACAGTGACAGTGAAATCCAGACACTGCTTTCCTCGCCGGATGAAGTACAGCAAGCCCAGGGCACTGTGGGGAGAGGACAGCAGCGTGTTGTCACTGGGTGGTGCTGGCCTTACATTAGGTTACCTGGGGGAATGGGGACAGCTAGGATGATAGATGATAGCACAGTGTTCAGGAGCAAGCAAGGTAAGTGTGCAGCGAGGGTTATATCAGATGCCTAGAGGGACTTGGCAGATAGCATCAGTGGATCTGACAAAGCAGGGAACAAAAAGATGAGTCTGATGACAAAAAGCAACTCAGGAATGGTACAGATCGGCAGGGTACCCAAAGCATATATCATCTATCTAAAATGCATACAAAAACTACTGGAAACTAGGCAAATCTTACCACAGTCAATCAATCCATTTTCCTACTACTCGAGAGCAGCTAGACATGTGGACTTTTTTCAACCTTCATTGTAAAATCATAACGTACAAGGCATTATTTAAGTACTTCCTGTGAATTAATGTAGTACTTTACAACTATGAGGTAGATAACAGTATTAGCCCCACTTAACAGATGAGGAAAATGGAGTTTAGACAGATTAACTTGTTTAAAGTCACTAGACTAGTGGTAAAGGGGAGATTCAAAGTCAAGTAAGATTGCTTTTAAGTCTGAGATCTTGTTCACTAGGCTAAAATACTTCCTACAAGATGGGCAATGATCGAGAGTGACCTTAGATGTTACCTAGTCCAAATGCTGGTATATACATAAGGAACCTAGGCCCAGAGAAGAGGAAAGTAACTCAGCCAATGGCACAGGAAGAAGAATAGAACCTAATTCTCCTGATTCCCAATCTAATTCTTTCTTCACCTCATATCACATTAGGGGAGTGACCTGAGACGGAAGCCGTCAGGTGGAGTCAGAACCACAAAGGAGTCCCATGATAGAGTTAGTCCACAGAACTAGGCAGCGCTACTCATTTTACCCTTCCCAAGAAAAGGTACCAGCCTGTCTCGTAGTTCAATTCAGGAAGTCAGTCCCAGACAGACCCCAAGAGACTGACAGCAAAGCTGGTGATACTCACCAGGTGAGGGCGTTGAGGATGAAGGACATCATGGAGAGCCGGCCTGGAGGGGTGGAAAAGCCCAGGATCTGAGGGGGAATCACAAAGGGAAATATGCTGGAGAAGTGACTTGGCAGAGCCCAGGCTCCAGGATCCCAGCAATCCTGCTAAGGCACAAACACTTCCCGGGGCACAGGGGGCAATACTTGGCACCTGGACAGAAGCCTATTTCCAACATGGTACTTTCACACATCCATTATGGTATCTCATTTGATCCTCATGGTATGTGGGGATTATTCTAATTTTTAAAAAGAAGACATAAAAATTCAGACAATTAAGTTGCCCAAGGTGATACAGTAAATAGCAAGTCAGGTCAAAAAGGATGTTCAGAAACCATGGCTCCACAGGTCAGGAACTTGCCTTTGCAAATAAAGTTTTATTGAAACACACTCCACTATTTTCTTCTTTTCTAAAAAACAGGCCAATTTAAAGATTTGTTTATTCTCATTTTATGTGCATGAGTGTTTTGCCTGCATGTACATAAAGTGCACTACATGTGTACAGTGCCCCAGAAATCAGAAGAGGACAACAGATCCCCTAGAACTGGAGTTAAGAGATGGTTGTGAGGTGTCACATGGATGCTAGGACCTGACCCCAGTCCTCTGCAAGAGCAGCAAGTACTCTTAACCACTGAGCCATCTCTTCAGCCTCCACAACTATTTTCTGATGTAGTGTCTGTGGTTGCTTTCGCACTATAATGGCAAAGTTGAGGAGCTGTGAACTAAAAATCTTTATTATATCATCTTTTCAAACAATGTTTGTTGAACTCCAAGCTGGGACCCCAGCTGCATATACCACACCACTCTGCAAGAAAGCCTATGATTTCCACATGCCCTTACAAGAAAGATGGAAGTTCCTAAGAGCCCTGTGTATCTTTATCACACTTTCAGCTTGGCTTCTGACAACCATAATCATATTATCACTACTTTTCAGATAGTCACCTGCCCAAAAGCTATGCGAGGACCTAGCAGCAAGAGTAAGGACTCAATCCCAGGTCGCCTAGATCCAAGAACTTGGCTCACTGCCGACCATCACAGCTGCTTCTCCTAGCTAACAACCTCTTAGGCCTCCACACACTTCATGAAGCTTTCTTATTCCTGGGCCACTTCTAACACTTTGCTGAGGGTGACATGGCAGGATTATTCTGCCCACTTTTCCAGAAGAAAAGGTTAGAAAAGATGAAACAACTTGTCCACGTTTCCTCAGCTAGTAGGTTTGTTGTTTTTAGATTTTTTAAATTATGTGTATGTCTGTATGTCTATGTATGGGTGGGCAGGTGCCCTCAGAGGCCAGAGGTATCAGAGCCCCCAGGAGCTACAATTATAGGCAGTTCTGAGCGGTCAGACATGGATGGTGGGAACTGAACTCAGGTCCTCTTCAAGAACAGCATACACACTTAACTGCTGGGCCATCTTTGCAGGCCATCAGTTAGTATGTTTGAACCTCGACAGGCCCTTTGTACTACAGTTTATGACCTAATACAAATCTCATGATACTGTGCACAGGAAAGGTAACATTTGCCCCAAGAATCACAGCAAGTACAGTGGATCTTAGAGACCTGTCTGATCCAAGCCTACTGTATCGCCATGTCCTTTCCTTAGTGTGGGCCCTAAGAATCTGAGCTCAGAGAAGTGAAGCTACTTTCCCAGAGTGTCAGAAAGGAGACTTACCATGTTTACCTGGGACACAGACCTGTTTACTGCAACACCTGTCACTGCCACATGTGTCCAACCTGCGGTCCTCAGGCCACATGCAGGGGAGGATAGAGGAGTAGAGGCCAATACAAAATGGTAAACTTAGGGGCTGGAGAAACGGCTCAGTGGTTAAGGGCACTGACTGCTCTTGCAGAAGACCCAGGTTCGAATCCCAGCACCCACATGGTGGCAAACAACCATCCATAATTCCAGTTCCAGGGGATCTGATGCCCTCTTCTGACCTCACACCAGTGCACTTACATACATGCACCCATACACATGAAATAAAAATAATAATTAAACCATTTTTTAAAAATCGTAAACTTAAAACCCTATGACTTCCTTTTTTGAAACTCGATCACACAGTTCAAAGCATGAACTTTGTACATGACAGCATTGTTTTGCAATATCCAAGGGCTGGACACGCCTGCGGTGGGCTCGCTGGCCTAGCTATTCTCTGCCATTCCATTTTACACACGGGGCTTCTGGAATCCCTCCCCTGGTGCCCCAAGTGAGGACGTGGCCCAGCTGGATGCTGGGCTCAGAGGAAACAAACTCCCACTCGGTGGGACTCCATCCCGCGTCCGCCCCGCGCCTACCTCGGCGTCGAACATCTGGTCCAGTGAAGGGGTGCTTCGCACCAGCGCGTCCACCAGCGCCAGCCACAGGCCCAGCGAACCGTAGTAGACGGTTTGCATGAGCACGATCTGCGACAGGATCAGCAAAGGGTCCCACACGTAGCTGCGGAACTGGCCCGCCATGCCGCTCCGCGCCGGTCAATACCGCCACGCCATGGGCCCGAGGCCGCCCCGCCACCTGCGGGAACACAGCCGAGCTGCAGCCTGCCGGCCGTCGCCTAGGCAACGCCGCCCCGCCAGGGAGGAGGGCCTGGGACCTAGGGGCGAGCCCACGCAGGGCGGTGATGGGACAGGGAGGGCCGACCCATTCCCGGAATGACTGGGGGAAGCCGTCCACAGCAGCCGCAGACCCCCGCCGCCACACAGGCTCCTCCCGGGTTCACTCACCGGCGATCGGCCTTGAGGCTCCAAGCGTCCGAGCGTGGTTCGGCCTCAGAGGCTGACCCCCGAAACCGCGCTGACAGATGGGACCATGGAGCACATGCCCCGGCGGCCGAGAGAGGCAGAGCGGCCCGCAGCTGCGTGGGAAGGAAGCATTTCCGGGGACCGCGGCGGAGGGGGCGGTGCTGACATCACCCAGGCGCGGGCTTGGCAGCGCCATCTAGAGGGACTCGGGCAGTCAGGAAACAACCTGTACACATGCGCACCAGGAAGGGTGAAGGCAAACGGAAGTGAGGCACCAAAGCCGTGGATCTTGGGCGCCCTCTAGATGCGGGGGGGGGCGTGGAAATGTGTCTGTTCCTAGGGTAGAGGGAAGGGGATGGCTAGTCTAGGAGTTAATGGGATGATAAGCATGACTATTTGGCGTTTGCAAAATGGTTCAGAGGATAAAAGATGCTTTCCACCAAGCCTAAGTAAGGACTAGAGTTCGAGCCCTAGGGCTAACAGGGTGGAAGGTGAGACTTGACTCCCGTCCCCCAGCTGTCCTCTGACTGCTACACTCACACATATATGATAATAATAAATAAAATGTGTCTAAAACATTTATTTTTTTGAGACAGAGTCTCACTATGTAGCCCTGGCTGGCCTGGGCTATGTAGACCAGACTGGCCTCGAGCTCACAGAGATGCACCAGCCTCTGCCTTTTTTTTTTTTTTTTTTTTTGAGACAGGGTCCCGGTAGCCCCAGCGGGCTTGTAACTCATTATGTAGACCAGGCTGGCCTTGAACTCACAGAGATCCGCCTGCCTCTGCCTCCCCGAGTGCTGGGACTACAGGCGTGTGTCACCACACCCGGCTGCCTCTGCCTTCTTGAAAAATAATACTAATCATTGACGATTTTCATCTTAGAATCTGTGTTTTCTTCTAGTTAATCTAGATAATATGAAAAGAATTTTCAAGTTCTTCTACATATTTTTGGCCACCGTTTGCATTATACAGATGATTGAACTAAAGGCCAGAAAACGGAAGTGACATGACATACTGTCTCAAAAACATAAAGTTAGTGACAAAATCAGGATTAGATGAAAGAAAACACATGCTTTGAAGTCATATCTGGGGTCAAACTGTGACCTTACCTGCCTCCATGATCATTTTATCTCTGCCTTCCCTAAGACTGAATAGCGACCAGTCAGTAAATATTTGTGGAATGAATCAAGAACAGAGAAAGGGGAACAGCAAATTGATGACTCACTAATTTCTGCCCCAGCAGACCCAAACTCCCCAACCTCGTATATCCTACATTCACCCTCTCTGGAGTGGAAAAAAGGGATGTAAAGCTCTCGTTGAACTGTAGGGCCAGCGCTGCCTCTTACAGCAGTGTGACCAGAGAGCAACTTCCATCTTTAAACCTCAGCTTCCCTGTTTATGAAGTGAGTTGGACAAGATGGACCTTTTCCAACATGTTACACTCCGTAATTATTTTTTCACTTAAACAATTTATCAAAGAACCACATAACTGCCAGTCAGAATTTCTGAACAGTTTGTGATAGCCGTATTATTACTTTGAATGGATACAATTCTAGACAAAAGTAAATAAGTCTTTATCAGGAGTATGTGATTTCACTTATCATTTGGAAACTGTAAATAATTCACTTGGACTCCAGTTTGGGAGTTATTACAGCCCAAAGATTTCTGAGGTACTTTCCAGCTCAACCAAACTTTAGGCACCTCAATGCTTGTGTTCAACAAATATGTACTCAAATTCCTCTGGTTAACTGATCGCTCACATGATTCCTTCTGTGTGAGCCTGTTTATCAAGTGCATACCTGAACTGTTTAATCCTTACATTCCAAGAAGGTAGATATTTCCTATTTTTGTGTATAGAGAAACTGATGTTGGATTCAAACCCAGGGCATCTGACTGTAAGTATCAAATTCCTTTTCAGAGGACAGGAAAAGGAAGGAAAGTGACAGGGAGGTATGCGTGGGAGTTGTAGGGAATAGAAAAGAGGCAGTAAATTCCCCCACTTAACCTTGGCGTGAAGGATCAGGGAAAGATGAGAGGAGAGAACTAGGAAAAGTGCTGGAGAGGTCTGGCCTAGTTCCCATAGGCAGTTCTGTCTTCCTTCTAGTTGCTGGAGTCCACCCCCTTCACATCACAGCGGGGTCCACTCTACCCCATCTTATCTCCCACAGGGACGGCTCCCCCTACCTGTTCTGAAATGGAGCTCACAGGTAGCTTAGAGCTTGACTGTCTGGAGAGTTAATGTCTGATGTCATTTCTGGAGCTTAGAACTTGCCTCTGGGAAAACCCCACTGGTTGGCCTTGCTCTTTCCTTTACCCTTTAAAACTTCCTACCTTGCCGAGCCCAGGAAATAGCCATCATCCTATATCTTAATCTGAATCCAACCAGGAAATCAAGAGATAGGAGAGTCCATGACAGTTCTCTTGACCAGCCTCCTTGGACTTTTTTCCAAATTTGACCACAGGGTCAGGCAAGTATAAATGACTTGCTATATGACCTTGGGCAAGTCCCTTGGTGGGCCGTGATATAACAAACTACAAAACAAACTAGGGCATTAGATTCCAACTTCCAGATGTAATCCATTGCCCTGTGACATCTGAATCACCTGAGAAGCATATGATGTATTCAGATTCCTCTCGCAAAGCATAGTACAGAAATCAGTCTCTTAGGGCTGGCAAAATGCCTCAGTAGATAAAGATGCTTGCTACTAAGCCTGACGACCTGAGTTCAATTTGGGGAACCAACATGGTGAAGGAAAGAACCAGCTCTCATGGGTTGCTCCTTGGCCTCCACAAGCATGCTGTGGCACATGTGTATGTGTGTGTGAGTGTGTGTGTGAGTGTGTGTGTGTGTGTGTGTGTACACAAAAATAAATGGGGAAAAAAGAAATCAATCTCTTCATCTCAATTTCCCTGTCTCTCTGACTCAGTCTCTGTCTCTCTCTCTCATCAATGCTGAAGAGCTTCACTTATCAGGCAAACACTACTGCTGAACTTCACCTCCCGCCAAAAGCCAAGCCCAAACTGGGTGTGGTGGCACATGTGTCTAATCCTTATACTCTATAGAGCCTGAGATAGGAGGATCACAATTTCCAGGCAAGACTGGACTACATAGATCTGTCTCAATAATAATAATAATTTTTAAAAGTGTTCCTCAAGTAAATCAGAGGTATATATCTGGCAACCACAAAACAAGATGATCTGCAGTTGACACCAAACCAGCTCCTCTATCCAAGAGAAAATTTCTCTGTGACCTTGATGTATCTATGGCTCTCATTGGGATTTAGGTTTTTTTTCCATTTGTAATATGAGGGGTTTGGACTAGAATAGCTGTTCTCCACGGGCCCTTCACATGCTGCCAAGTCTGTGGTTACAAACTTATGAATGAAATTTAAACTTTGGGTCAGAGGTAGAGTGACGAACAGCCACAAGCTGGGACAAACTGTCCTCTGGGTGGAGGGGAGGAGAGTCTGGTCACTTGGTCACTGACATCACTCCCACACTGGGACTCAACTGTGGGCATGTAAGGACAACTGTTGCTGGGGTCACCTTCTGATCCACCCCCATAAGTCACATAGTTCCCGTGGGATTGCTTAGATTCAAATCCTGGCTCTACTAACTTGTTAGGTAACATTGGAGAAATGTATTTCATCTCCCTCAGTCTTGCTGGTTTTCTCTTCCATAAAATGGGGATAATAATGGTGTACATATTGCAGGCTGTCCTGAGGATCAAATGTGTACCAAGCCCAATAAGTAGTCACTGTAATGTAAATATTAGTGATATTAATTGTTGCTATTATTTCTTCCCTTGAAATGTGGAAATACTGAAGCTCTCAGATTTATGGCAAGGCTCTTACCATATCAGACAGAAAGAACCTGGTGCTTAGAACATAGTAGGGGTTCAAACACAGTTCTCTCTCTCTCTCTGTCTCTCTCTGTCTCTGTCTCTCTCTCTGCCTGTCTCTGTCTCTGTCTCTGTCTCTCTGTCTCTGTCTCTGTCTCTGTCTCTGTCTCTCTCTCTCTCTCTCTCGTCTCTTAGTGCTGGGGATTGGACCTAGAAAGTGCTGTACCACTGAGCTGCTTCCTCAACTCTGTTTTGGCTTTGTATTTTAAGATAGGGTCTCACTAAGTTGCCCAGGCTGCCCTTGTATCATATTCTGAACTTCTGGCTAGCCTTACATTCTCTCTGTAGTTCAGACAGATTTTAAACTGCGGTTCTCCTGTCTCAGCTTCTGGAATAGCTGGGGTTACAGGCCTGTGCCACCAAGGGCCAGCGTCTCTTTCAAATCTCACCCCCACCCCACAGTTCTCCTCCTCCCTCCCTTAGGTTGCTTTACTGTTCTGTTCATGTTTCCTTTTGGGGAATAGTTTATGCAAGTCTTCTGGACACACGTCTTGGGCAGGTTATGTAACTCTGTACTCACACTTTTTGGAAACTCCATGTGGGAGCCTGGCATTTGGCTGCCTGTCCTCCACACCAGTGACTATCCTGGACTCTGGCCAATGAGTTCCTTTCTTAGAATGGAAACTAGGGAGAGAGCTCATTGGCTGCCTGTTTTCTCCACCAGACTGAGAACACTTTGTTACCCAGGCTGCTTTAAGGGCTAGGTGAGCACGGCTTTGTTTGAGAAGGAACATATGCAGGGCACCTACTGTATGCGACACACTTCTGTTATCTTACTTAGCCCTTATTTAATTTCTAAAACAAGTCTCTGAGTAGTAAATACTATTAATAGTCACACTTAACAGATAAGGAATCTGAGGCTCAGAGAAGGGTTCTGTTTACCCAAAGCCAAAGTGACAGAGCTGAACTCCAACCCAAGTCAGTCTAATTCCATCCATTACCCCTTTCCCTGTGAGTACACTAGGGATTACAGTTTACATAAAACTTTCATCTGTATAGCCATCTATTTTCCCCAACAAGGTGAGCATAAATATTTCTCCCATTTCACAGATAGGTAACTGAGGCTCAGAGGAGGAAATGACTCATAGTCAGCTTGAGTGTGGCAAATCTTGTCAGCAGAAATAACCAAAATTTAAAAATACTAGGGCTGGAGGTATAGCTTGGTGGTAGAGCCATTGCTTAACAAGCACATGGCAGTAGATCCTGTTCTTAGCACCGCGAACAAAACAATGATGA